GCCCTCTAACACATTGTGAGCTTGATTTTCTGAAGCACTGAGCACTTGGAATTCCAGATAAAATTTGAGAGCCGAAATCACTTAGCAACTCTGGAAATGAAGTCCTATTTTTTAAACACTGAAAATTTCACATGGTGTCATTTCTTTCACTAATATGCAGCAATCACATTATTGAAAGGATGCTTTTCTGTACAAGGATAAAATTTGGGGCCAGATGTTCAGCTCGTGTTTACCAGAAGTCAATACAGGTAAGCTAACATCTGCCAGATGGACAATTGATCCAAGGGGATTCAGCCTTCGATATCATCTGAAAAGATGGCAAACAGTAGGTAACAGATAATATACAAATCTAGATCAGATTAATCTTTTCACATTCTTCAGTAGTCCCTTTAAGGTTCTGCTGTGGTTGATTCAAAAAAATATATATATTAAAAATTAAATAACACTCAAGTGTCCGCCACAAAGATTTATATTTTGCTGTAAACAATAATATCTGCCATTTGCATTGATTTAGTCCAACATGAGGCCAGCGGGGTTCTAGGCTTCTTACTGATACTGCAAATAATTTTTCAGAGACTGAGGCAAAGGTAGAGATTCTATGTCATGCAGGCGGTCTCGGCCAAGAGCAAACCGAATTGATCTTCGGCACAAGTCCATTAAAGGTAGGGGCTCCGCTGAAAAAAGGGAAGAAAAAAGATACAGAGTTAATGACTTGGCAGTTGCACTTATACTCACTATTTCTTTTAGTCATGATTAAAATACAGACTGTATCAAAGTTCTCAGGCTGTGCTTCATAAACAGCAATCATTTCAGAAAAATAACCTGGCAAACTTGTAAAACAATAAAAGTGAAACTGGATTTACTACCAGAAGTGGAGTCACAACTTTACTGCATATTCCACACATGATATAGCTATAGATAGGATAATGATTCTGACTCAGTATTCGCATCTACAAAGCATTTGCTGGTAAATAAGCAACATTCCCATTGTTTCTCAAGTTGTAGCATTGTACTGGTATTTTTTTCTGTTAAATACTGAGCTTTCTACTACTTACAATCTGGTTATAGCAGTTAGGAATATTGTGCTAAATTAGAAGCTCCTGACCTTTTAAATTCTGGCTTCCTTCCATCTTTTAGGAGCTTGAAATAAAACTTAAGACTAATTGAACTTTTCAGCAAATGTTGCTTGACCCCAAAAGCTCTGCCTAACCTTTTTCAGCAGTTACTGGAAGTAAAGACATGAAAGTCAGTCATTTTTTCCTTGTGAATAAACAAAGTTTTTGTTTTTACTCTTTTTCTTTCTTTTTCTTCCTCTCACGTGACCAGGCAGGATTTTTTAATTTCATCAATAATTCCTTTCTAGAGGTTTTGATCTTACTTTTAAGAATTGAATTAAAGTACTTTTGGAAAATAACAGATTGACTCAAAAACACTGACCTGCAATTTCCCGAACCCACTCCACTACTTTACTTTATTCTGACTTGTCAGGATTACATGCAGGGAGTAAGTAGATACTGTGGTCTTTAAACCCATTCAAATCATTAATATCTCTACTGAAACTGCAAGCATTGATGTGTCACAGGGCACTGAAGTGCCTGCTCCTAAAAGACAGGTGTGGGTTGCTGGGGCAACCACAGAGGTCAGCTGACCTCAGGAGGGGGCAGGGCCTAGCCTATATAAACAGCCTAGGCTGAGGCCAAGCAGGCAGTTCCCCTCTGGCAGTCATGGGGAAAGGAGCTCTGTGGGAGTGTTACAGCCTGTAGGAATAGATGGCCTGAACAGCGTTGGTTGAGGACTGGGTGGAGCAAAACCATGGTAGGGTTTTGAATGAAGGCAAGCCAAGGTTAGAAATTGTGTTTGAGCCAGATGGCTTAGAGTTCCCTTCTGGCAGCCGTGAAGGAGAGAGCGCTGCCAGGAGTAGGCAGAGGTGGGAGGCCTGAGGACCTGAGCAGTTCATTGGGTGAGAATACCTGGCAGGGGAGCCCTGGCAGGGAGGAAAATAATGATGAGCCAGAGGGCTTTGGGTTTATGTTAAGCCAGGAGGCTAGAGTTTGAGTTAGGGCTGATTGGCTGATGGGTTTTGTTGGTTATTGTTACACCAGAGGACCGGGTGAGGCTGTAGGGGTTGGAGGAGGCCTCATGGGAGCTCCCCAGTAGCGGGGGGGGCGGGTTCCTGGCACCACAGGGGGCGCTGTGTTTTGGGGTGTCCCGACCCCAGCCCCAGTGTGGGCGATTATGGGGACGAGCCCAGCGGGCGGAGGGCGCGAGAAGCGCGGGCAAGGCCCCGAGGAGGGCGAGAGCATTGCGGTGAGCCCCAGGGAGGGGCGTCCAAGCAAGAAGCCGAGCGAGGGCATAACGTTCAGGGGGCACTGACCCCAGTCCCACGAAAGGGGTCTTGAGGGCCAGATAAGGCGGAGGCCGCCTGAGCCCGATTGTGAGGTGCCCAGGTCGGGCGTAAGACCCCTGAGGAGGGTCAGGGGGCCAAGCACGGCTAAGGCCACCTGAGCCCCGACCGCGGGAAGTGCAGGAGACAAAGCCCCAGTGCGAGCAACATGAGCACGGGGAAGGCAAGAGAGGCCCTGTGGGGCGCGCACAGTGAGGAGGAGCCCTGGGAGAGGGCGCGCACAGTGAGGAGGAGCCCCGGGAGAGGGCGCGCACAGTGAGGAGGAGCCCCGGGAGAGGGCGAGCGTACAAGCAAGACGCCCAGAAGGGGATACTAAGGAAAGGGTATATACATGAGAACATCCGAGAGGCTTGGGGCGTGGTATTAGGGGTGGAAGGAGCCACGCGACACCCATAGGGTTGGGTGCACCAGAATCTACCCGTGTAGAGCAGGGACCAGAAGGGTAAGAGCACCGGGTCCAAGGGGTCAAGTAAAGGCAGCCTCCCATTAATATTATAGAACCATCAAAGTCATGGCGGGCAAGAACGAGGGTGCTAGACGGGCAACTTGGCACGGCAGGGGCGCCAGGAGAGATCATGGCCGCTCCCGGGCCCCGCCCTGTGACATGGTGTCCACCATGGTGACAACACGATTGATATAACAGGAACTAAACAGAAGCATCAACAGATTTCAGAAGCAGCTAAGTCTCTGCCAAACGAGTGGTCGTTCCTTAAGGAAACGATACTCAGGGCCC